AATGCAATAACAAACTTAACTTTACTCATATAATAAATTAATATAGTTTCTGTGGGAGATTCTCTAACCGACAACCACCACTATGAGTCTAAGTGGTGATACAACGTCTTGCCCATGTTGTGAGAACTGTCCTATACTTTGCAGTCGTATAGAACGCCTTAAGTAAGTGGATCCACTAGTCTATGTTAAAAGCACACTTAAGGATTCATCTAAAAAGTATGATCCTTTATTACCCATGATGGCTACATGGTTTATGCAGACTTGAGTTAATATGGACTCGTATCCCCATATCGGTGCTCAATACTACTCCCAAAATATACTTAGATCATATGTTTTTAAAACAAACTTCTTTCTTTGGTTTTGAGATAATTACTCAAAACTTAGCTTAAAAGCTCTTTTGGAATCGATGTTTCCTTTCTTGCTCAAATGTGAAAACATTTTTTAAAATCTTTGGGAATACATAGTTCTCATATACTTCTTTGAAGAAATGACTTCAATCTTTACTCTTTACACTTTACTCAACTTGAACTTTAAGTCTTAAAACAAAGTTAAAACATTTGTGAAAGACTTTTGAAAACTTTATAAACTTCTTTTGACTTGCTTCTTAACTTCTAGACTTGACTCTTAACTTTCCTTGAATTGAATTATGGATTCAAGGTTCATGATCTCATATTTATGGATGATTTCATGATGTTTGGACGTACCTTAGAGTGTTGGAATCAACTAGAAAACATATGCACATTGCTAAGGAACTAGTACAAAAAGATAGGGGAAGAATGGGAAGAACTGGCGTCCCTGGAGCTCTTAGAGGCGCGGGGCGCCAACCCTTGAAGTTCAAACACTGACTTGGGGCGCTCTGGCTGGCGCGGCGCCCCAGAGGCCAAAGTTCAGAGGCCCCTCTTTCGGGCTATGAGGGACGCGACGCCCCAAGACCCTCCCAGGTGTTCCCCGACTTTTCTTCTCCATTTTCACCTCTAAACCCTTTAATTTCACTTAGTTCTTTCCCCAAACACTTAGGATCATTTATAACCTCACTATATATTAGATTCAACTCGAAATTACACCTAAAAACATGAATCAAATCTCAAGAAACTTCAATAACACAACCCACAAGAATTCAAACGAATTTCATCAAGAACTCAAAGGATTTACTTTCAAATTTAACATACTTCGCTGAATTGAATCATGATTGGCACGTGGGTGAACTAACCCAACACTATGTGATCTCACATACCTCGTAGGATTGAATCCTTGGCGAAATCCACAACCAAACTCGAATGTTCTTGACAATTCTTGATTTCTCTTCTCCTTTCTCCTTTTTTCTCTTCTCCTTTCTCCTTTTTTCTCTTCTCTCCAAGCTCTAGCGTGAACTTCAACTTTTCTAAACTGACGAAAATCTGAATTTACCCCAATTAAACTCCTAAAAACTAATCAAAACAATTGGGTAAGGAAAAGACTAAAATACCTTTCCAAAATCCGGATTAGACTTTTCTTATTCGAACAACCCAACTTCCAAAGGGCATATCTCACTCATACGAACTTGGAATCGCGCAAACTCGAAGGCGTTGGAAAGATTATTCCAAGATCTTTCCTACGATATCTAGAAACACACCTAACTCATCTTGAGCTAGAAGTTATGGTCGTTGAAGTTGACCAAAACTCAACTTTACATGCTTAACAATTTTCCAGATTTTTGTTCTTTCCAAAAAAATGACTATTTCCAATTCTTAGCTTCTTCCTAGTTATTTCAAATTGCGATATGTTACAATATCTACCCCTTGGGAACATTCGTCCTTGAATGAGATTACTCTTACTAGGCATAAGGTGTAACATGCAACATTAGCTCAACACCCAACAAGCAATGCAAACACAACATGTCAACTCATAAATTAAAGAGTACTAAGAAGAGAATTAGTACCTTGGTCTGAAATTTCTCCGAGTTCGAAGAGATGTGGATATCTCTTCTTCATATCCTCCTCAGCTTCCCAAGTAGCTTCCTCAACAAATTGGTTCCTCCAAAGGACTTTGACTGATGTTACCTCTTTTGTTCTCAACTTGCGAACTTGGCGATCTAGAATCTCCATCGCCGTCAAGGACGACCGCCAGGCAGTCCGGCGTCAACCCCCTCCCCTCGTCCTTTCTCGACCTATCCTCTTCTCTCTTTCCTTCGTCCAGCAAGCTTCGCCAGCAGCCGCGATAACCGGCGAGAACAGCTATCCGCTGGTGAAGGTTGCCTCCCCTCTCTCCTCACTTCTCTTCTCTTTCCCCCTTTCTCGTATCTCCATTTTTTTTCAGCGGAACAACAACAAGAGCACTGCTGCTCCGATTGAACAGCAACTCCGGTCGGCGAAGGCAACAGCTCTGGCCAGCGAGCTCTGAGACCGCAACGCCGGCGAACCCCACCAGCAATTTTATAACCATTTTTATCAAATAGTTTTTTAGAAAAGTAATTTTCAAAAATAATGATAATTTGTGTTTGACTAATTTATTTGAAAAGTGTTTTGCGTTTGATTTTTAAAATATTAAAATGTCTTTTGAGAGTCAAATTACGAAAAAGAACATTTATCAATGCTTTTTAAATATATTTTAATATCTATTATTAAAAAATAATTTTTTTATTAGTAATTAAAAAGTACATATTGCAATTTTTCAATCAATATTATACATAGATAAATCAATAAAAATATTAAATATTGATATAATATTAACATATGATTTGAATATATTAAAAAAGTTGAGCCAAATAAATTTAAAAAATTTATTCCACATATTAAACAATAAAATAATAATATATAAAATGTAAAATAAAATAAAGAATTAATTGTATAAAAATAAAAGATAAAATTCTTAAATGAAACTTAACCAAACATATAATATAGGCTAGTAATTAATTAGCCATGAATATATTGATACATATGTATAATTGGTAAGGGTATTTTTATATTGAAAATTATGCTTTTGTTTCTACTTTGGTTAAGAAACAGATTTTAAATTTCTGCTCTATTTTTTTTTTTAAAAAAAAAAAGCAGATTCACTGGCCAAACACCTTAATTCTTAAAGTATTAGTGAAGTGGGAGGTGTACAACAAGATAGAATAAGAGCACAAAATCCTTGAATTTACCAAACTCGATCTGTGGAGTTAAAGAACGTCTAATTTCAATAATATATATATATATATATCTATTAGGGTGTGGAACCTTCTTTTAATAAGAACAATCTAATTAGTTCGTTAAATATCCAACATCAATTCATATATAGCATTGAAAATGAGTTTCAAGTTTGAAAAAGTGATTTTGAATAGTCTTAAGTGATCTTTTTTTCATCACAAAACTTCTATATATTATTTTATATTTTTCAAGTTTAATGCATATATGTAGATATATCTAGTGTATTTTTTGTTTTACAACTACCTGCATGTACACTAACAGAAAACAAGAAATAATTAAGCGATTGATAAATTCAGTAACTAAACAATATAAATTTCATACTAATCTTATTTAGCTACGGATTGACGACTGATTATAAGAAAATACAATTTATTGAGAGTTATCTAAGCAACAAATACATTTTGTAGTTAATTCTTTTCTAGATGTGGTAGTTGCTAATACTTAGTTAATTCGGTGCTTTTCTTGAGTAAAGATTTTGTAAATTGATGTAATATTAGTGAAAGTTGTGGAAAAAGATATTATTTTCCCATCAACTCATTGGGCAAATTATCAACAAGCAAATGAAGATGGCTTCCACAATATTATAATACATGCATGAGCAAGACTTGGTCTAATTTTTCATAACAATTAGTGTATCTGACAAAAACGCTGCAGAAGAAATTCCAAGAGAAGCAAAGATTCCTACGCAAAGTACGTAGACCTTGATTTTTGGAATCATCAATAATATCCTTCGATTTATAATTAAGCTTCCCCATTAATATAACCATAGTCATCAGTTCCTTCGAAGGGACGTAGAATAAAATTGTGACGAAAGAGATAACTTGAGAAGAGTAAATTTTGCAGAATGGATTTTCTCAGATTTTCGCTTCACTTGATCGATTGCCTAGCCTGGTAGATTTACTTTCTTTCTCTACGCTCCACTCCAGTTTGTGTTGTTTCGTTAAAAGATGAAAATTTTGAGAAGAAGGTTTAAATAAACAACAACTTTAGCTTGAAGATTCATCAGTTTTTTTTTTTTTTATTCAATGAATTTTGCGTGTATTGATACTGTTGTTTTTTTGAATTTGCAGGCCGGTAGTTGCTCTGGGCTATCCTATGTAAGTTTTGATTGTTCAATTTTAGTTGTGTATTTAATTTTTTTTATTTTTTTTTGACTGGTAAATTGTTTTGTGCAACTGCAGATGTGCATCAATACGAGCAATTGAGACTGCCTCCAAGTATCACATGAGGAAGCTCGTCATATATTGGACTATCTTTTCTTTTATTTCTCTCTTCCAACACCTATTTGACAAACTTATCCAATGGTAATGTCATATGGAACTCTTTGAATTATTGACACTTAGCTTGTTACTAACATTATTGGGCAAACTCGAAGTCGTTAATGTTTAACAAATTTATCGTCAATGTCTTAAAATGCACTTATTTTGGTTCTCGTCTATGTTGGTAGTTATAGGTCTGTTCTTGCTTGTGTTTCTTAAATTCCCTTGCTGAGCTAGACTGCTAGAGAGTTTGTTGAAGCATTAGGGGAAAATTGTGCACTCTATGTGGTTGAACATGAGAAACTACTCCTCTTGCATATACTAATCACTTTTAATTTACTTTGGCAGGGTTCCTCTGTTGCCACATATAAAATTAATTACCATATGTTGGTTGGTGATACCACGGTTTAACGGGGCATGTTATCTTTATGAAGTTCTAGTTCGTCCATGTTTACTGGTTAAATGGCACGATAGTATTAGTCAGTTTAATAGTTCTTGTTATGTTTATCTACGCCTTTCATGTTTGTGCTTGTCTGTCAACCTTCGAACTGTTGCCCACTGGTTTAACAAGCCAATGGAGGATCAATCTCGTGGTCCTGTTTGGGAAGATATCACAGTGATGAGCATATGGCAAAACATGAAGCAGCTGAGACCAAACAGGTTATATTTCTTTACACTTGAATTTCCTTAAGTTACTTTTCTTTTGGAGTATTATATGTTCACGAGTATTCTTCTAGATACCTTGGTAGATGAAATATTAAACTAACAGCTAATTGATGATAGATGACAAGAGGAGAGCTTGAGATGAAACTTACTGTTTATGAAAATAAAAATTAGGCTCATCGACCAAGACAAAGATGGCAAATGATAATGCACACTGAATCAAGTGCATTATCATTTAGACGAAGCAGAAACTTTGTGTATGCTAAAGAATCACTGAATAACCTGAAATTGAAGCTGGCATACTTTGTAATATTAATTGTTTTTGAAGTTTGCACTAGATTCATCTATCTTTGTATACTCTCTAGTGTCTGTTTCTCCTGTGAAAATTTGAAGCCATTGGAAAAGGGAAATTTTATTCTAGCCTAGGTTTTGTGTTTCTATATTCAAGAGAGAGTAATCTGTATGTCAGCGATTAAGGTGTCTGCGGAACTGCAGGTTAAGAGTTTGAAGGAAAATCCAATTATAATTGAGAAGAAAACGAAAGGACTGCAGGTCAGGGAATTGGTAGTTCCAGCAGATGCTGAAGAGATAAAACTTCCAGAGGTTGCTTCTTCAGAGAAAGTTCAGACAGAGTGGACTTGTGCATTATGCGAAATGACAACCACCTCGGAGCAGAACATGAAGTCCCATCTTAACGGAAGGAAACATAAAGCTAAGTATGAAGGGCTGAAAACTTGCGAACAAACGTCCAAAAGCGATGGAAGTTTACCAGTTCCAACAAAGTCAAATCAGCTTAATCTGGAGCAAGTAAAACATGCATCTGCAGCACAACCACAGCACAGTGCTAATGAAGCAGTTGAGCCTAAACAGGTTATTATTTTTTAACCCTTGAACTTCGTGGTCATTTTGGGATATTATGCCTTCACAAATGTTAAGCAAGCATTTGATCAAAAGAGGAGAGCTTGATGTTCCCATGAGAATAGCTAATTAGCTGCTACTGATACTCTTGGTGGTCAAGTTACGAAAAGACTAGGATGAGGGCTTAGCTGTATATGAGGACAAAAGATTAGGCTGATGTGGAGGATGGCAATTGATAATGCACTCTGAGATCAAGTGCATTATCATTTAAACTTAAGCAGAGACTACATATATGCTAAACAATCGCAAACAGCCCAAAAATTAAACTGGTGCACTTAGTAAAATTTATCCTGCTTGAAGTTTGCAAGATTCAATTATGTTAGTATATTCTCGAACCTCAGTTTTTCCTGTGAACATCTGAAGTCTCTAAAGAAGAGAGAGTATTGAAGCTCTTAATTCTTTTTTAAACATTAATACTACTTTTGTTCTAGCCTGGTATTCTGTAACATCCGACAATTTAAAACGAATATGAAGAAGCTTGAATTTGGAAATAGTCATTTTTTTGGAAAAATTTAAAATCTGGAAATTTGGCAGTCCAGAATCTGGAAATTTGGAAAAAATTCAAAATCTGGAAAATTTGGCCAAGTGTGGAAATCAGTGATTTTTTGCCAACTTTGAGCAGTCGTAACTCCTAGATCAGGATGAGTTAGGAGTAGTTCCAGTTATGGTTTCGAAGCTTGTGGAATGATCTTTCCAACGCCACCAAGTTTGCTCGATTCCGAGTTCGTATGAGCGAGTTATGCCCTTTGAAAGTTGGGGGAGTTGGCAGGGAGTCCGTCCGGAAATTTAAGGGCATTTTGGTCTTTTCACAAATCATTTCTTTTGAGGTTATATTGTGTGTTAGGCTGATTTTGGATCAATTTATCCCATTTTAAAAGAGAGAAAGTTAGGGTTCCTGAGAGTGAAGAAGAGAAGAAGAAGAGAAGAAGAGGAGAAAGAGGAGATCAACAAGTTTCCGTCGTGGAATTTCGTCGGTGGTGATCCCTATCAAGGTATGTGAGTTCTTTAGTGTGGGTTGATCCTTTCCCCCACACACCAAGCTCATTTTATGATTTGAGAAAAGATTGGATTTGTTGTTGAAGTTGTTGAAGTTGTTAGTTGTTGTTGATGTTGTTAGTTGTGTTGTGGAAGTTATTGTTGGTTGTGGGACATGAATTAGTTGTGTTCTTGGGCTGAAATCTATTGTATATTGAGGGATTTTATGATCCTTAGTGTTGGTTGGTTTATACCCCCACACACCAACTCGTTTTTAATTCCTAGAAAAGATTGATTTTGGTTGTTGGAGTTGTTGGTTTTGTTGTTGAAGTCCCTTGTGATTTGGGACATGTTTCCGGTTGGTTTTTGAGTTGTATTCTATTGAGTGTTGAGGAGATTGATGATCCTAAGTGTTGGGGCTGGAAACCTTAGTGTTTAGAAGGTTTAGAGTTGAAGAAAAGGAGGAGAAAAAGTCGGATTTTTGGGGGAAAAGGGCTGGGCTGTTGCGCCAGCCAGCGCACCCAAAAAAAAAAGGGATGCTGAAG